CATAGCGAGAAATACGAACTGCTGCCTCCACGGGAGGGGAGTTCTGAAAACCTTGGCTCGAGAAGAGGACGGACTGCTCAAGTAGCAAGAGAAGCTGGCCCAAGGAGGATGTGTCCTGTCTGGTTTTAAGGAGAATCTGGTCCCGAGCGAAGGAGAGTCTTGACACACGATCGGGCTCCGACTCCACGCGGCACTGCCGCGGCGAGCCGAGGGAAAACACGCCCGTGCAAAGCTGGCAGGTTGGTGTCCTGCTGCCGGCAACCCGAGTACCAACGTACCTGGGGCCGGCCCCTAGCAACAAAACCAGGCGCGCGGCCTAGAGATCGTGCCGCGCCCTGTGACGCGCGGCGATGCTGCAAGCGCAGAAGGCGCCCACACACCACCACCGTGCGCGGCCGGGGCCATCCCAGGCCCTGAACCCTCCTGGCCTCGGCGAGAAGGGCAAATACGGCAGGTCGGGCATGTCTTTCTACAGGCAGATTTTGGACAAAAACTTAAACATAATGAAACATATCTCCAAACAGCAAAGCAAATGCTAAACAAATCGTCCCCAGACTATTCTTTGACTTCTCTTGAATATTCCCCCTGTAGAGGGACAGGCCCGACTTAAGCATACACGGCATGTTCGTGTCGTAGCGACCCCAGCGTTGGTTTCTGACACCGCGTGGACCGTTCAAGCTTGAACGATCGGCGGCTTTTCGATCGCCAGGTCGCTCCAGATCGACCGATTCTTGGCCACTGGCGGCGTTCCATCCTGAACGCCTGCGGCGGGGTCGCTGCCGCGTGGGGACGACACCAGTCTACCGTACACCATGCCGCGCCGTGGCCCAGGCATGGGTGGCCCTGGCCATGCGTGGTGGTGTCGCGTAGCTGTCGCCTGCGCTAATACATACAGCATCGACCTGCGAGAGGGCCGTCGGTCGCGGGGTCCGCGTCGGCGGCGGGGTGCCTGGGACTCGGGGGCGCTGGCGGTCGGGTCCCGGCGGAGGCGAGGGAGGGAGAGGGGAGGAGCGCGGCGGACGCGCGGTCAGGAAGCCTCGGCCAGCGTGGCCCATGCATCGGGGGGGGGCCAGCGGGAATCCAGACCTCCCAGGCATCTTTGGCTTGCGGCTGCTCATCTCACTCTGCTGTCTGTTCTCCAGGGCGTGGCCCCTGGAGAACCTTGGCCTGAAGGAGGAGGAGGAGGAGGAGGAGGAGGAGGAGGAGGAGGAGGAGGAGGAGGAGGAGGAGGAGGACGAGCAGGAGGAGGAGGTCCACTCGAACCTTTGCTGGGGGGCCGGCTCTTCACCCTGGTCTCCTCTTTTGTGTCTTGACGGCCCTGGGCCCCGACAAGAGCGGCCCCTCGAGGTCGAGATTTGCGAACATTCCATGTTTTTTGGTTCAGGGCGTCGGAGGCATGGGAAATAGACCGAGCTGACGGGGGCAAGGTCAGTCAACATCGAATCCGCCGACCCCTTGTGGCTCTCCAGGCGTGTAAGATTACCCCCCCCATAATCCCCCCCCCCTCCCGGGGACCCCAAACCAGCAATTTGACCCCCCCCCCTTGGACGAGCGCGACCCCGGACCGAACGCGTCACGGGGGAGCGGGGGGCTCCAAAACTGGCCAAGAAGGCACCAAAACGCTCCCCAGACGGTCCCAGGGGGCCACGATTCGCCGAAATATCGCACCTGGACGCTCACGATGGCCTCCAGGCGGCCTCCGAAGCTGCCAAGACGCCCCAAAAGGCTCCCAAGATGCGCCCCAAGAGGGTCCCAAGAAACAAAAATCGCCCCATTTCCTAAGAAAAACAAGCATTTTTCGCATGCTCGCCTATTCGGTTTTCACAAACTCCCAGACGGGCAAAGAAACCTTCAAACTCGCCTCCAGACGGCCAAAGGGGTCCCAAAGAAGGGTCGAACAGGGTCCAGCAACAGTCCACGAAGCCCCAAGACAGTCCAAGAGGGCCCCCAGACGGCTCCAAGACGGAGTCCAGAGGGCACCTTTTCGAGCCTTCGGCCCCAAGACGCCCCCAGCCTGCCCCAAGAACACCCCAAGAGGCCCTGAGGGACCCCCAAGAGAACCTCAAAGGCAGCCAAGAAGCCCTCAGGAAGCCCCCAAGAGGCCCCAAAACTTGGCGCAACATGCCTCGAGGCGGATATGGCCTGCAGACAGGCCAAGATGCCACCAAACAGCCACAAAAGAGCACCAAGAGGTACGATAACAGCAACGAAACAACATGAACGATGTCGAGCGCCGTGTCATGATTCGGACAAGCCTCGTGAAATACAGTCCTGGAGGCAGAATAGTTTATATCGGGGTCGGCGGATGTGGCGTAAGCTTATAGAATCGGGAAATCGGATCAATTCGTAATGTGCGCTGGATCGCGCTGCATAGGCACGGAATCGAAATCGGCACGGATCGGCCGCGCCAGGATGCACAACAGTAAGATGAAGCCAGGACGAGGATCAAATCTGGTGATGATAAATCGAGAATCTCGGAGATCCGGCGGCACTGGAAGATGTCTCGGGCGCCGCGGCCTTTTCATAGCGTTCCGGAACGCTTTAGAACGAATCTACCCTCATCCCCGCCCCGTCCAAAACAACGCCACGGAAACATCTGGTCGCACCAGATCGTCGGAATACCGGAATCGAAGTTGTGCAGAGCTGGCCGGGATCGGCATCGAGTCGCAGCCATCGGACCGAGAGAGAGAGAGAGAGAGAGACAGAGCAGAAGCCAATGGCGGGCCCCAGCCAGGGGCCCGCGGATTTCTTCCACACCGTAGAGCCCCAGAATTTTCGACCCCTTCCTCTGGACCGGTCCTTTCACCCCGCGTAATCTGCGGCCCTGGGGCCCAGCGAGGGCCCTCGCTCGCCGGTTTTGCGGTTTCCACGGCGCGAGGGTGCACGGCTTCCCCAGGGGCCGTGGGCGACCTGGAAAGGAGGAGGGGGAGGAGGACGAGGAGGAGGAGGAGGAGGAGGAGGAGGAGGAGGGAGGAGGAGGAGGAGGAGGAGAGGAGGAGGAGGAGGAGGAGGAGGAGGAGGAGGACGGGTCGCCTAAGTCCTTCGGAGAAACCCTCCACGCGAGCGGTCTGGGACGGGACGAGGAGGGAGCGGCAACAGCTGACGGTGGGCCCGCGGCCGTGGTCCCGCGGCCGTGGGCCACGCCCTGCGACCGTCGAAAACGACCCAGGATGAAAATCCGGCGCCTTCATTGCCGCCCCTGGCGCGCTCCGCGCGCCAGGGAGGGGGGCTCAGGCGCGCATGCGGGATAACAGAAGCTGAAGTCTGGAGGCGGGAGAGGAGGAGGGAGGAGGAGGAGGAGGAGGAGGAGGAGAGGAGGAGGAGGAGGAGGAGAGGAGGAGGAGGAGGGAGGAGGAGGAGGAGGAGGAGGAGGAGGAGGAGGAGGAGGAGGAGGAAGGAGGAGGAGGAGGAGGAGAGGGGAGGAGGAGAGAGGGAGGAGGAGGAGGAGGAGGAGGAGGAGGAGGAGGAGGAGAGGAGGAGGAGGAGAGGAGAGGAGGAGGAGGAGGAGGAGGAGGAGGAAAGGAGAGGAGGAGGAGAGGTGGAGGAGGAGGAGGAGGAGGAGGAGGAGGAGGAGGAGGAGGAGGAGGAGGAGGAGGAGGAGGAGGAGGAGGAGGAGGAGGAGGAGGAGGAAGAGGCGGAGGAGGAGGGCGGAAAGGGCTGCCAGGGGCAACTTCTGCAATCCGGGCCACGCCCTTCGGGCTGGGCTGCTGCTGGGACCGGCGGCTTTGGTTCCGGACGTCGCGAAGACCAGCAGGGGCAGCATGGTCGCGAGCCGCGGGAGGCCTGCGCAGGCCTCCATCGGCTACACGCAGGAGTGACGGTCCCTGAGATCCTGGCGACGCAACTCTGCCACCGAGCGAGTTCGCCTGGTTTCGGGGATCGATCTGGCTCGGAAGAGGCAGCAGAAAAGAAGGCCTGGGGCTCTGGTCGTGATTTTTGACGACGTTTCGTTTCTTTCGCGACGTCGGATCTCAGGGCCAGGCAAGGGTGACCTCTGGTGAGCGGCATGCCGATCCGTGCATGCGATGTGACAGCAGCCTGCTGTGCGCTCGATCCCCCCCCCCCCCCCCCTCTTGCGCCGCCCGGAGGTTACGCAGCCCAGAGGCCACCCCGGCGAAGTGCCGCTCTCACGCGAGAGAGAGGCCTCCCAGACGGGGCTCGCGAAGGTGGGGGCGGAGGGCTCCACCGCATCGCCGGCGCCCCGGCGGTGCATCCTGCGATGCGGCGAGGTCCTCCGACCCCATCTGCGCCGACCCCCAGCCAAGAAGGCCCGGATCCGTGCAGCCCAGCTTCTCGGGTCGCCGCTGGGCCCCGCGCCCGACGTGGCCGTGCGGCGCCAGAGGCTGGGCGAGCGCGCCCGGGGGCGTGTGAGGAGGACGAGGGCCCAGCGCCGACCCACCCGAGCCGACCGCGGACCGCGCGATGCCGTCTTCTGCTGGCCTTCTCTTGCCATCGCTCGCACGTCCACTCCGCGTGCATGGTTCGGCTCGGCTCCGTGCGTCTCTTTTTTCGCAGGGTGGTCCAAGATGCTCCTCGATGGCCCTCGCCGAGAAAACATGCACGCGGCAGAGCGATGCCAAGTACTGAGACACCCATGAGCCAGAGGAACCTCTGCGGACCTTGTGGAGGCTGGGTGCGGCTAGACGTGGCCGCCGAAGGTAGCCGCCCAGAGCGGGACCGCTGCTCGGCTTCGCCGAGCGCCCCCCTGGAAGAGTTGGGCAGGGTGGACACCTCGTGGAAATTGGGCGGTCGGCCAGGGCGTGCGCGGGGCTGCCAAGGGAATCCAGTGATAAGTCTCATGAACTGAGCGCGGCACCATAACGGTTTCTCCCACCATGCCAGAACAGGTCTCACGCACTGCTCCAGCAGGGCTGGGCTGGCGTCAGAACGGGCTCTCGCAGCCTGCCTGGACAGAAGCTCATGCGCTGAGCCTGGCGGCGCGTAGGTCAGCGGGGGAGAAGGCAGGGAAGAGGCAGGAGAGGGAGGAAGAACAAAACCCCTCACCCGAGCAAGCCGCTGGTCGGGCTGTACAAGATCTGCTGGCCCTGGCCCGCTCCGGCCAGAAGCCGACGACTGCCCGCAGGAGCAAGAAGCCCGTCTGGTCCGAGCTCGCCGATCTTCGCGCCATGGAGGAAGCCACCGCTGTGGGTGCGGCCCAGGCCGCGGCTGACCTGGATCTCCTGCGCCACCCTCGAGCCTGAGGAAGCCAAAGACACCGATGCCGCTGCTGCCTGGACCTCTCCCGGGGTGCGCTCCGACCAGAATTTCGAAGCGAATCCAGCTGTGGCGACAAGGGCCTCCCAGGAGGCTCAAGAGGGGGAGAACGAGGGAAGGGTAGCGGCATCGGTACCATCTTTTCCTCTGAGAACCCGCGGTGATGCTGCATCCGTACACGTTCTCCGCCTTCTGCCCGGGCCGGTAGATGCTGGAGCCCACGATGGTGCGCACGTGCCTGGGGCTGCTGTCGTCGCCGAACCTGGCAAAGCGGTCGGCCTTCTCCCTCATCAGGGGGAACGGTAAGGGGGGACTGGCTCAGGGGGAAACATCGACCTGGAATCGGTGATACATCGCCGATCGATCGATATGCGATGTGTCCCCGATATCAGATCCGCACGACCTCTATCGGCGATGATTGGCGATTGGGGGTCGATGCTTCCCCCCAGGAGCCTCTCCCCCCTAACGTTGCCCCTGACCTCATCGCGCTGTAATGGGAGATCTCCAGCTGGTTGCGCTGGCCAGAAGACAACAAAAAGCTGCACATGAGCGTAAACTTTCACCGGCCCGCGCCAGCTTCTGGAGCCGACGCTGGCCCCTCCTCTAAGACGAAGTCAGGACGAGGACAGCATCGGATGATGGCAACTCGAGAATCTCTGAGATTCAGCGGCTGAGAGCGTTCTGGAACGCTCTGGAAGGATAGATCCTTGTCCTAGCCCCGTCTGGTCCTCTTCACACATCCTGGGCGGCGCGCGCCAGGGGGTGAGGGGCGCGGGGAGGGGGGCCTTGCGCCGACCAGACCACTACACACACTGCGTGCTCGGAAAAATACGGGTGGACCCAATTGGCCGAACGGACTTCCAAAGAGTACCGGTGGGGGGACGAAAGGACAAAGACGAGGAAGAGGGCAAGAAAGGCAACATACAGCCAGAACAGTGATCAATCAAACTATCATATCTGGACCAGATTTTTCGAACTTTCTTGAATCAAACCCGAGCAACTTTCTGTTGTTGACGCTGGAGGGGCGAACGCGCTCAAGAAACTGGGCCCGTTTTCTGGCAAGTTGGTTACGAAACGCTGGCCCAGCTTTTCGGGGGGCGTTCTTTTTAATCCGAGGCTCGATCGTAGCAGAGGAAGAGGGGAGCAAAAGAGGAGAGAGAGGGAGAGAGAGAGAGGGAGAGAGAGGGAGAGAGAGAGAGAGAGAGAGAGAGAGAGAGGGAGAGAGAGGAGAGAGGGAGAGAGAGAGGGAGAGAGAAGAGAGAGAGAGTAGAGAGAGGGGGGGAGAGAGAGAGAGAGGGAGAGAGAGAGAGAGAGAGAGAGGGAGGGAGGGAGAGGAGAGAGAGGGAGAGAGAGGGATATAGAGAGAGAGGGAGGGAGGAGCGAGGTCTGGCTGGCGCCGACAGGATACCTCCCGCGCGGGCCGCCGAAGTCTACGCCCGCGCGGGCTTTTTTTCTGCCTTCCGCTGGTCGCGGGGGCCTGTGTGGAGGACCAGCGAGCGGCACGAGCATCCGCCTTCGGAGGTCCGCGCCGGCTGCTTTTGGATCGGCGCTGGACCCCTGCCCGGCGCGCTCCGCGCGCCAGGGAGGGGGCGCCCGGCCCCCATCCAGGACATCTGATAGAGAAAAGGGAACTATGCACATACACCGATTCTGGCCAGGATCGGTGCATACGCCCTCTCACCTTGGCCAGGAAGGTATATGCACCGATCCTGGGTCAAGGATGGGCGTTGTCAGGATCGGTGCATGTGCACAGTTCTCTTCGCCCGATCTGAGCGGACGTCCGAAGGCGCATGCTGACGGTGAGGGCATGGGATAGGGAGCCGGAGGATGAGGAGTCCAGGGTCAGCGAGCCGGTGGAACTCTTCCATCGTGGATCGGCCATGGACATATCACCGCCGCCCTCATCAGATAAGGAGTCCTCCACGGTCTGAAGCCTCCTGGGCACATTGCTTAACCGACGCCCGCACTGGGGAGACCAAAAAATACCGATACCGCTACTCCCCAGACCTCTCACGGGGTGCGTTCTGACCTGGATTTCGAGGCGGATCCAGCGGTGGCGACGAGGGCCTCCCAGGAGGCCCCGAAACGAGGAAACGAGGCACACGTAGCGGCATGGGTACCTTTTCCTCCTCTGGCTCACCGTGCGTATCTGGGTCACCCAACTTCGCGCATCGCGCCCCGCCATGCGCGACGTGCGCGCATCTGGAGGGTTTCTCCAAAGGGCTTCGGCGACACGTCCTCCTCCTCCTCCTCCTCCTCCTCCTGCTCCTCCTCCATCTCCTCCTCGCCCTCCCCCTCCTCCACCTCCTCCTCCTCCTCCCTTCTCCCCGACTCGTTTCTGGACGACCTCCCGAGCCCAGCGAGGGCCCCTGGGGGCCGAGGACCGCCAGGCATCTCCCGCCGTGTGGCCTGGTCACAGGGGCGTGAGAATGCCTGGGTCGTGCCGCGGAGGCCGAAGACCGCCAGAGACATCCCGCCGTCTAGAGGCATCCTAGCTGGGGTCCGAGTCGATGGGTCGGGGGATCTCGCCGCATCGCCAGCGCATCGGCGATGCGTCGGCACTGCATCGGCGTTGCATCGGCGACGCACCGGCGACGCCGGCGTGGAGAAGAAGGGGCTCCGCATCGAGCCGCACCGCCGATGCATCGGCGAGGCGGCGCGACCCCTCGACCCCGTCTGCTCGGACCCCGCCTGGGAGGCCTGCAGGGTGCATGCACGCCTGGGCTGCGCCGCGGAAGCGCACCTCCCGCCCCAGATGTCCGGCTACTCCAATCCTTTTGGTGCGTGGGCCCCGGAGGTCCAGACCACTTCCCCGGGACCGGCCCTTCGTCCCGAGGCGGCTTCTGACGCTCCCGAGGCCCTGCGGGCTCCCCCGGAGGCCGACGAC